CCATTGGGAACCTACTAGCACTAAGTTGCTAACTGGTTAGCAATTTAGTGCTACTTGGTCCCAATGGAATTTCCCATTGGGAACCTACTAGCACTAAGTTGCTAACTGGTTAGCAAGATGCTTCTAAAATCCCGCTCACAGCCAAACTTTCTTGCGAACCTTCTGCAACAACAACCTTGCCCCCTTGATAAACAACCAGTTCATTTTATTCCCTCGTGTAAAGTCAGGCTGCACTCGGGAGAATTCGGAAAAGCAACGGTTTGAACAGCCGATTCCCTACGACTTTAACACTCTTATTTGGTGTGGAGGAGAAAAAAATAACCATACTAATTGGTACCTCTGCTGAGAGTTTCATTACACCTCAAATTTAGTAATAAGACAGTAATTCAAAAGTTTGTTGCATAGAGAGGGAAGATCTTTGACTACTCTTCTTTGTACCATCGCTGCATTACTCAGAGTCATGGGTTTTTTTCATCCATACCTCTAAAGACGGCTGGATGAAGGCCAGCTTTGTATTGGGAACAATATCTGAGGTGCTTTGATCCATTTTCTGTTCTCTTACAAATTACATCACATCTTTGTAGAATGTCATGGTGTTATCCATCGTATTATGGTTTCAACGCTGTGGAACGTGACCACAGCTTCACAGATTCTCCAATATAATGTAATGTAATGTCCTTGAATATGTTTCCCTTAGAATTGGAACAGACAGAACCGGTTCTGAACAGTTTTCGACTCCCATCCCTAACACCAACACATGGCGTAACCTCTCTGACTGGTTTTCTTAGGCTCCGTCCACACGAAGTCAAACCCTGGCCTAAATGCACAAATTTTTCACCAAACCAGCCTCTCATCCATACGAAGTCGGCGTTTCGGGTTCTGTAAACGATCTTTTTTTTATTAAGCCTTCAGAGTGGGAAGATTTTGAAACGCCGTTTTCGCGTTTCCATCTTTAAGGTCTGACCGCATTTTTTTTTTTTTACACGCATGCGTCATAGCGTCTCCTCTAAACACGCATGCGCGACACAGTATCACAACAACAATGGCGCGTACTGCGTTGAATGGTTGCTGCTCATGCTACTCACCCTGCTGTCGGGCTTACAACAGAATCTTCTTCTTCTGGAATATCTCCAGGAAGAACAGAGCAATATCGACGACATAGTTCAGCACCTGAATTTGACTGGACCACGAAAATGGACCATCAGGGCCATTTTCCGGTTTTCCGGTTTGGTTGTTGTATAAATATTACTGCGCATGCCCAACATTTCGTTGCCTGTTTTCGCCTATTTTTGCTTTGGCACCACAACGCCACTTACAGGCCTGGCATACATTTTGCAGCGTTTTCATGCATTCGTGTGGACGATCACATTTATTTTACGTCTCCGTCTTTACGACAAACGTTCTGGAAAATATTAGCGTTTCGTGTTCGTTTTGACTTCGTGGGGATGGGGCCTTAGCGTGTCGAGGAACAGAAGTTCAGATCTTCCAACTGCTTGTGAAGTTCCTTAAATGCAAAAAATGACCTGCTCGAAATGCTTTAAGATGGGCTGTTCTAGCAGCTAGAAATGTGCTACAGGTCCATTTAATGTGCCTTGATGCGCATCAACCTCAGACTTTGCTTGTAAACCAGCCGCTCCTGCTGCTCAAAGTGGCTTAACAGCTGCAGGGTAGAAACCGTTTCTGAGTCTGGATGCTCCTCAAGCTGCCTCCCTGAGGGAAGAGGTTTGAACATTCGGTGAGCAGGATGGTTCCTTCATGATGCCGGCCGCCCTTTGCATCTTGATATACAGAGTTTTAAGAAGAAAGGAAGGTTACGCCCTACAGTCCTCTGTGTGGCCTTAAGGCAGGCATACAATGCAAGTTTTATTTTATTTGGTGTTTTTTTTTTTTTCCTTTTTGGGCAGATTTCTCTAACCAGGCATGTAGAACAGATATCATGAGTTGTGACCTTTTAATCCCCAGGGTTTCTTTGTACAGTTTGAGCTGTAGCTGAGTACAATGATAATACCGCGCACGCCCACCCTTTAACAACCCTCTGCAGAGCCATCCCTTCACTCTGCTGCCACAGCGTGTTGCAGTTCCTCAGGACTGTATTCCCAGAGTTCAGCTCTAAGCAATTTCTCGAAGAAGTAGAATCGCTGATGGGCTTCTCTGACTAGACAGGAAGCACCGGCACTTCAGGTGAAGCCCCTGGATAAATTCACACTCAGGTACCTTTGGCTAATACACCTTTCACAGGTGCTCCTCTGAGGTGCACAGCATGAAGAGGATTCTAGTCCTTTAAATCACCACCATCTCTTCTCCACTTTCATACAGAAGATATTTATCTCTGTACCAACTTTTCCACCTCCGCTCTGTATTTGGGCTCATCGTTGTTTGGGAGGGGTCCCTCTATCGCTGTGTTACTCCTAAAACCCCCCTCCCATCTGACCAAAGCGCCCAGTTGTAGTTGAAGTTCCAGTAGAGATCAGGTGTGTGATGACGGTAACAAAGCAAAGCTTGTTCCTGGCCAGGTTCTTTAACAGCTGGCTGGCATCTGGAAGGTGTCCAACGGCACGTCCTGCTCTTTGGATGTCGGCAGCCTTGTTGCTACGTGCAAAATGCTTCTTTTCAGGATAAGATACCGCCAGAGAGAACGCCACCAGTGATTTATTGGTTTCTTTTTTTAGAAAAGGACAATCTCATAATATTGAGGCACATTGGTTATAGTTACGTCCTTCAACTGGTTAACTATTTATTTTTAAGACTCTTTATAAGATGTAGAGCGATGTGGCAAATATTTCATGTTTGTTTCCCTACTTGTAACCATGTGGCGTCATTAGGTTAGTCAGCTGTCAGTTTTGTCCTAGTTTACCTGTGATGATGATCTTCTATTCTGTTACTTTCAAGCCATGCCGCCTAGGAAAAAAAGGAGACCCTCTGCTGGAGACGACATGTCGGCCAAGAAAAGTCGCCAAGACAGGTGAGAGATTCCTCTGTCCACCATGTAGTAGTTGTGTTTTAGCTATTTTTTTATTTTTAATATTCACGCATCTTTAACCTTTCCGCATTAAAACCAGAAACCTCAGTGTTTTCCTCAGGTTTCTGATTGACCAGCAAAAAGTGATGCAGAAGAAAATTAAACATAGTTTAAAGATCATAACAAAGAAAGATCTTTAAAGGATTTAGAAAAGGACAGTTTGGCAATCTGTTTGCAAAATGGAGAGATGGAAATTACAGCTGCATGCTGCAGAGTGTTTAAAGGCTTTGCAAATCTTAAAGAAGGATTAAAGGAGAATATAGATTTTCACAGGTAGTTGCAAATGAGGCAATTCTGTGATGCGGAGATTAGAAATGACCTTTCAGGGAAGGGAAATGTGCCGAATGCTTTGTATAAAAAATGATCATCTTAAAGAACAAAAGCTTACAGAACAGGAATGTTAGCAATTCTCTGTATGTTAAAAGTAGGAATCAGAGTAACTTCCTATATTGCCAGAGGAGGATAATTTGATCTGCCCGTCACGGCACATCTCCAGTTTTCAGATGTTGGAGAGAATTTAGCTGGAAAAATTATGTGAGGTTGTTTATCGCTCCTCATGTTTAAAACAAGGACAATGCTGGAGGCTCTGTGGCCAATATTTTTTTACTGATTATTTATCAAAAGACAACAATTTAATTTAAGAGCCCAAATTAAAATTTCTTAAAATGTCCTCAAAACAGAGATGAAATAAATCATCTAAAAAAGGATTTAAGCAAAGAGTAGCTCCACCATCCGTGTCGGTGACTGCAGTTACTCAGCCATGCTTGATGCTACTGTTTCCAGGTGGCTAGTGGGAACGCTGCTGCTCCAACTGTTGAAAGTTGCTTCATGGGGGGGTTTGCTGGCTTTAAGTGATGTTCGTTATTCAGGGAAACACGAAGGATGGTCAGAAAGAATCCTGTTTTTCTCCTGAAAGAAGTCCATCATGCTGGAATAGGAAATGGCCATACTGTCCATCATAGTTATGAGGGAGAGAGCTGTGTGCCCACAGTCTACTCTGACACCCCAATGTCCAAATGCTGAGTTTATTCTATAGTTACCATTTCAAAGTTTAAAAATCTTTGACTCTCTCTCTTTACTGTCTGTGTGCTCTGCTGATATATCCTAAGGGACTGTTGGATGCCATATTTGATAGGACACTTTAAAGTGTCATGAATTTATACTCTTTATACTATCCTATAATGTATTTGAACAGGTGAAAGGCCTCTGAATGCCCTCAGTGTTCACACCAAGAGCATTTCATAATTGGATACGATGCTAGAGCTCATGGAAAGTGTAGGTGGAGGGATTGTATCATGAATAAAGGAAAAAATGTTTTGAAATTATGGTTATCCTTTAGTGTGCATGTTATTATGGAATGGTTTCGCAATCAGATATTTTTTCTGATAATTAGGCAGCTCTACTCCAAACATACGCTTCAGGATGTCATCCAAAACATTGCATTTTGCCTCCTCTAACATCAGACTCTGCCACCAAAAATCAATATTGCATGAATTTTATTTTATGTTTTTGCAATTCCAGTTTTACTTAAATTTTTATTTCAACATCCTCCTTTTCTACTTCTAGCATATACATTTTATGTCGAGTCTCATTCTGTAACTGTGCTTCCAGCTCCAATGCATTTGCCACTACCTGATCCGTCCTGGAAGCACGATCCACTCTGCGCAAACACGTATACATTCGGGTGTCCATAAATAATGTAATTATGGTACTAACACTACTTATTTCTATCCATAGCTCACTAAAGAATAGTAATACCTATCTGTAAAATATGTTTTATGACTTTTGTGAGACAATTTTGATGCTTTTTACATGTTCATCGTTAAACTGCTTCTCTGATGTCATCATCAGACATGTTCAGAGCAGTCCAGCGAAATATTATCTGCATTTTAGTTGTTTCTTTCTTTAGATAACACACTATATAGCATAAGGTTAAAACGATACGAAAACATAAAGCTCAAAAACGCTAGATTTATGTTTTAAATCCAATGCCAAATAAGTTGGTTCCCGAAGTAGCGTAGGATCCTATTTCCAGTGCAGATCGGGCAGAGATGAGTGATAAAAGGATTTCAAGGGATTTATTTTCTCAAGAAATACATACCGTAATTAACCTTTCACACAATATATTTTAGTACGTTTAATATTTTTGGAAAGGGAAAACGTCATTTAGGTATTTTTAACAAAACAAAATTGAGGACGACCCGGAAGTATATCTGGATATGCTGCGCAAATGAGCTGATGGCGTATGAGAACGGATCGTGCTTCCGGTAAGGATCAGGTAGTTACAGCATTGATCTGTGACTGTGCTGTGACTCTCTTTCTCCTTCTGTGGCTGTAAACCCACTTTGAGTGTATTACCGCAACCTTAAGGGCTGGAATGACAAATCATGTGTCCTACTGTTTTTAAATATAATATAACCCAGAATGTAGTTCCTGCAGGATTTGGAAAATCCACTTTAAAACATAGAGAGTAGATGAGCTCAATAAATTTAGTCTCTTTAGTCTTAAAATAGTGTAGAAAGTAGTTTGCTGAGACTCAGATTTTCAATTTTATGCATTGAGATGTGGTCATGAAGATGCAGTGTTTTATAGAAGATATAAAAAATCTGCACCAACCATGTCTGCATGTAGTACGGTGTGTGTATTGTGTTGCTGTTTGTCCTCTGACTCTGTCCTCTATTGCAGCATTTTCAGAAAACATGAGAGCTCACAGATCCAGGAGGAGGAGGCGTTTTCCAGTAAAAGATGTGTGGAGTGGTTCTATGAGTATGCAGGTAATTGGAAATCCCATACGTCTGCTGTGTGTTCTTACATCCTTGAGCCAAACTAATGCTGTTCATTTATTCAAACTAGCTTATGACAACGTGGTGGGTCCGGAGGGCATAGAGAAGTTCTGTGAGGACATTGGAGTGGAGCCAGAGAATGTAAGTATTTTTTTTATTTTTATTTTTTTGTGGGGTCTCACTGCAAAAATTAAACTAAATGTACATTCTTTTTTTTTTTTTATTAGGGTATTTGCAATTAATTTATTAGATCATAGTGTGGTAAACTCCTGATCTCCCACTTGCCTGCAGTTGGATTGAACTACAGTGGCTGTGAAAGACAAATAGCGATGAGATAGTGGATCTAACTGGTGACACGATGTCATATGACGATGTTGAAAATAAGAAATGTTTAACTTTGGTTTTGTGCCACATTCCTGCACCGCCGTAGCCTCTTCCGACTCGTCAGCGACTAATGTGCTGAAGAGTTTAGAGCAGAGGTCACGGATTAGGGGACCGCGGTCCGGATCTGGACCCAACCTGATCGAAATCATTTATAAATTACCACATGTTGTCCGATGCTAATTTAACTTGCGCTGCTTCTCCTGTTTGTACGGTGAAGCGCTCCAGAGCATCCAGGACCAGGCTACACATGATCCAAATTAGCCAATGAGCTGTGTCAGTCAGGGTTGCACTCCTAGCCACTTTTAGACACAGCAGGCAAACGTGTCGCAAGCCGGGTGATGAGAAAGAAGAAGACCATGAGAAAAAGTGAAAGAAAGGGTGAACTGCTTGAAGAACTGTGGTTAACTGATGACAGAAAAGTGAAATGGTGTGCTCAAAGATGATCCTACATTTTGAGGATGTTTGGCTCAACCTGCTGCTGTGAAGCAGGGTTGTCTACCGTGACAATAATCCAAAATAAATATTGATCCAGGCTCAAAATGAGCACCTTGATATGTGCTTTAGAATGGCTTTGTCTCCATTTAAACCCAGGTTTAAAGCCTTGCAGGGCAGCATAAAGCCCACTGCTCTCATTAAGACAGAAAAAAGAAAAACACAGACGGTCATTTCAGGTGTTTTATAAAATATGTGAATCAGGAAATTGTCTATATACCAAACTGAAAGATTGTTGTTCTCTACTTAGAAAAAACACTTTAGATTTTAAAATCCAAAAATATGTTTTATTTTTGTTTTGTTTTTTTATATTTTTTACTTCAAAGTCAATGTATAACATGGATGCATAAACGACTCAATTTATTTCAGTGTTAAATTATGTTTAAAGTAACATGTTAGAATTAAAAATGTCTCCAGACCTTTACTGGTTGTTGCTTTTCTTTAATCGGACCCAGCTGATTTTTAATTGGTTACCCCTGATATAGAGCCTTGAAACGGATAAATATAATCTTATGTTTGATAATTTCACACTAATCGCATGTATAGATCCCAGGAGGATGGTCCCGCATTTACAGTGTCTCTAGTCACATTGACTTCTGTCTTTATAAGGAATAGGGAAAGGCTGAGGTGACATATGCCGTAAAGCAGTCTGGACATTTGTAGTCTCTTTGTGTGGCAGGCTTACTGCCATCTATCTCTGAGTTGCTTAGTGTCAGTGAAAGAGAAACATACGCGCTCAGGCCATGACAGAGGAGTCATTTCACTAGTTGTAGGTCGACACACAATCATAAAAGGTATGAAAATATATAATGAGGGTTGAAAAGTTGCTTAGTGTTGTTTAAGGTTCTCCTAAATAATCCCCTGTATCACCCATCCCTGTGCAAATTGCTCCTGTTAAATAACTTCTGTTTTGTTTTTTATTTCCACATTTTCCCCAGGTGGTGATGCTGGTTCTCGCCTGGAAGCTAGATGCTCAGAGTATGGGCTATTTC